CAACAGCTGCGCCGCGATCATCCCGACCGGCGCTAATTTTTAATCGTCTAACATTTATCACCGCGCGCACTTACAAACGAAAATTTCTTTCGGATATATTAAGCGAGTCAAACGACACTTGACAATTTTTAAGAACGATATTGCAATCATTCTTTTACAGATATTACTCTTTAATTTTACTCATCCGTTCGTGGTAAAACGTTGCTCGTTCGGGGGATGAAATCGCGGTCTGCAATTTTTCAGGTAAATTAACTGTGACTTATAGCGGCAGTTAACGTTGCGAACAATGTTGCGAAGATCTTTTTTACGAGCGTTCGGAAAAGATTATGCAGAGCGTCGTCGTTCAGCGAAATCGGTGGGCATCGGTTGCGTCGCAAACTTCCCGGGCTACCTGGACCGCTCGCTTATTTGGTATGCGTGCTCGAATTTTATGCATATCAGCGTAAGTTTTGTAGGCACGACTCTTCTCTCTTTTTACATCGCATCGTAATTAACGTATCCGTCCTTGGCGGTAACCAAACAATGTAGCCCTGGACAAGATACCCGTGTCGTGGCCATGCATGGTGTTACCCTTACCCAAACAGTTTTAATGAATATCTGAATCCACTTTTATTATCCCAAATTTCTGACAGAAGAAATAAATTTATACAGAGACTAATTGACTTTCATTAAAAATTGTATGCAATATATTTACATTTTATAGTTTCCCTGTCTTCATGCTAAACGTTAGTGCAAAGTTAGTCACAGTACTATTAATTTAGAGGATATTGGAATTTTACTTAAAAAATACTGGAAACCATCGTAATATTTTAAGCAAAGGAGGCACGAATGCCCTTTCGCAACCAATAATATAATTCTGACTATCTAGAACTGCGCGATTTTCACTGGTAGCAACTGTATGACAGCGGCGAAACGAGAGAGAAGACCACGACTTCGAATGCCTCGGGGCATGTGTAAGACGTATAGGCTCCCCGTGTTACGCAGGCTGCCGCACACGGGGCATACATCACTCCACGTGTGAACCCTCACCACCACCAGCGCCGAAGCATCAGCAACCTCACCTTTAAAGCTACGTCCTCACTGAAATGATGAACAACATTCAGTTGACGTCCCTTGAAAAAGACGACCAGTTTTTTTCTGAATCCTGGCTATTCACGCTTCGTAGCTTACAACAAACGATTAGCATATTCACGCGCATTGATGAACACGTCGTAAGAAGAAATGTAAGTTTCAGAAGAAACCTGAATGTTCTCTGGATTCTTTGATCGGCTGAACGAAACTTTACTACGATGTGATGGTCGCTTGATCGACATTCTTGAGAAATGACTGTGAACAACCAGGGGATTCTTGTCGTCGATTCGGTGAGGACGCAGCTTTAAATATACGTAGCTGTTCGTTTCTTCTCCGGCCGAGCTGCCGTTGCTCGTCCCGCGGTGTGTGGGTAATTATTATTACGAGGGATAAGAAGAACGAGCCGGGAGAGAGAAACAGCAGGGATCGGTGCGTGGATCTCCTTTCGGTGTTCCCCTGTAATCAGACAGCCGGACCTGGTCGGATTCTAATGTAGGAGGCGCAACATGGAACGCGGAGAAAGAGAAACTCGCGGTAGACGTATTAGTGTCCCTTCTGATTTAACCCTTTAACCGAACAGAGGTGGAAATTCTTCTTCTTTCACCATTTCCAAACTCCGACAATCCCAGTTCACAGAAATTCTATACGTATATACCAAACTTCATGTATTTGTGAAATGATTGAAAACAATCTGCAATATCTAATTTCAACTTCGAGATAAGTTCGTATTATAATCATATAAATATTCATATAATAATATAAAAATTGTAAACGAAGTCCGGACAGTTCCAATAAATTAAAATCTAAATGACGATGAAGTAGCGATGATTTATTTGATAAGTTATAAATGAAGCGGCAATTTTTTATTCATGTAATTGCAACTCCGGGAACACCGGCGGGTCACTGGGAGAAATAAAAAGGAAAACTCATGCGGGAAACCTACATGCGTCTGCGGCGTACAATCCCCAGGTTAACGTCGAATTATCGTTCCGGCAATTATCGTTAGCCGGGTGTAATTAAATTATTTCTCGGAGCCTTGCGCGGAATTTAACCCGTTTTACCGCTTTTAGAATATCGCTCGAGATAGCGCAGATTGTACACAGACAAACCACGGGTTTCAGCTACGTAATTACGGGTACGATAATTCATCGACGCGAGCACATACGCGTGGAACTCCGGACGGGCGCGTATGCGTGCGCGAGCCCACGAGGAGGAGTGCACAGAGTTTCGTTTAATAACCCGTTTGCACCTCTGCCGGGGTTAATTAACGTTACCCACCCTCCACCGGTGTACCGCTAATTACGCGAAGCTCCAAAAAAAAATGTCCCTATTATCTTAAATACCGGTTTTCTCGATGAAATCTGGATTTTTCGATCGAGAAACAAAGCAGACTCGAACTTCAAAGAGAGATTCTCGAGATAAGATTGACACGAATGCATGATTTTCTTTTCGTGTTCGTAATGCGTACAGATTTTGTTTGTTATGAGATCTATGCATCTGGTATAGACTCGATTGATAGTGTATTCAATGACACGATGTGACGAATGATAGCAAAACGAATTAATTACATTCCTGATATGTTTTTAAATATTCGATGATACTACATGCACTAAGAAAAATACTTGTGTGTGAAAAATTATATGAATTTCTCTTTTAATTTCAATATTTAACGAGTTAAGTATGATTATTTGGCATTTTATTGATGTTGACAAAGTCCGACCATCCCAGCGTCGAAACGGCGAACTTTTGGAAAAAAATTTCGTTTTTCCTCAATAACTCCTAAACC